AATTATGTTAAACATTACAATGTTATATTATTTATTATTATACATGCTATAAACCATACCATTGACCGTCGTGTGAATGGTATTAAGAGGCAGTGCCAGCAAATGGACTGCGGTCTGAAGGTCACCATAAAATACAATCAATTAAGAACCGAAATGGTTTATAACATCTTTCCAGTGGTTACCAAGCCAGAATCCATCTTCTCGGTTGAAATTGTCTCTGTGTTTGTATATCTGGATGGCCTCATGAACGAATCTCTCATGGTAGCCGGATGGCTTGCAGAGAACCTCCGTCTTGGAGAAGTCAATGTCATGTGAGCCCACTGAATGATAACAGTGATCTGCCATGGCTGAGGAGTTCGTCCTACCGTGTTTCAAGTCTGCTTCATGTTCACGGATGCGGTCCGAGACATGTAGTTTGGTTTCTCCAATGTAACTGCTACCACAGAGGCAACTTAGTTTGTAAACGCCCGGGTACTGTATGTCTAAAACGACATCTTTTACAGACGGAACCAGATCACGGATTTTATGTACCGTGTTGAATCGTACTTGGATCTTGTGTTTATTCAGGATTTTGGAGATCTTTTTTGTGACCCCCGCAATGTAGGGTAAGGTGATGGTTTTGAATGGCTCCTCAAGAGGATCCTTCTTCATGACTGGAGTGATGGCTTTGCGGATTGTGTAGTCAGAGTAACCATTAGCCTTGAGAGCTTGGTGTACGTGCTTGAGTTCACTGGCAATGTGTTCCTGGTCGGAAATGCATTGGGCTCTATGGTATAGAGTGTTGATGAGGGAGTTCTTCTGGGATGGATGGTGGTGGGAATCTGATTTTAAGTAAGCATCCGTATGGGTAGCTTTCCTGTAGACAGAGTGGCTCATTGAACCATCAGGTCTCCTTTTAATTAAGACATTCAAAAAGGGTAGTTTGCCATTTTTTTCAACCTCCATGGTAAATCTGATGGCTGGGTGTGTGGAATTGATGTGGTCGAGGAATTGGTCTAGAGCAGGCCGGCCATGTGGCCAGATGACAAAAGTGTCATCCACGTACCTCTTCCATAAGGTCTGGTGTAGAGTGGCAGTCTGGATTGCGTCAGTTTCAAATTTTTCCATGAACACGTTGGCTACAACCGGAGATAGGTTGGAGCCCATTGGGGTGCCCTCAGTTTATTTGTAGAAAGTTCCATTCCAGGTGAAGTATGTGTTGGTTAAGCAGTGTCTCACCAGGGGGGGTACATCAGTATGCAGTCCTTGATGAACCAATTCTTCAATGATTGCGATGGTACTCTTTGGTTCTATTGGGTAAAGTCACGTAGGTGAAAATAAAATAACAAAAAATCACGACGTTTCGGCCACAACACGTCGTGATTTTTTGTTATTTTATTTTCACCTACGTGACTTTACCAAATAGAACCAAAGAGTATGGATCTTAGCAGTCACGAAAGCTTTAAATCTAGAATTGATTGCGATGGTGTCACCGGAACTTCGGTGAATAAGGAAACCACATCAAAACTGACAAGCAGGTCGTCTGGGAACTATGTTAAGGTAGTAGTTATAACAGTTAACTACTAACTTAACATAGTGCCGTGATGAGGCCTAGTCCCGTGCAGAGCCCCCGGCCTCGCCTAATTTCCCAGCCAGCCGAGGTGGCACCTTGGCAGGCTGGGCTGCTACACCGCCCCCCCCACCACCCGCTCTACCATAGCAGTAACTACAAACTCTACAGTATTATCTACCGACCCTACAGTACTAAGTGCACACATTGAGGTGGAGGGGGAGAAGAGGACATCACACTGTGAAGAATTTACCTCAGCGTCGTGTGTATGTTTTACGCAAATTAAAATCTCCCTCTCTCCCCACTGATCACGTATGTGCGTTACTAGGAGGCAACCACCGGTCAGCATTTCGCGCATGCGCAGATGCGTGCAGATGCGTGCTTTGGCGTGCCCTCAGCGTAGTAATATAATAATTAATAACACTAAATTGTTAGTTTAACTACTTTAAAGTTGACGGATGTGAAATACGAATAGCGCTGGCTCACCACGGGGCTTATCGCGTGGTATCTGGATACTTTTTTGAAAAGTAAACCCCACGGTTTGCGAGTTAAATCTGTCGCAAGTTGCATCCATACAAAGACGGACAGACCAAAAATGCCTTTTATAGGTTAAATTGCCGTAATTTTGATAACTGAAGTAATCGTGGTTATATCATAATGCAGTCTCACCAAGGTGAGCCATTTAAGCAGACACTGCACTCGTTTACAATGACCCTCTTAGTTTTTTTTCTCAGTTATCATTGAATGATGCAAACAAATCACACCGTCTATGTTGGGCAATTGTATCCGGAAAGTGTTGACTCAATAAGTGTGATGAGCTAGTTTGGAGAGCTGTAAAGGCTTTAAATTACAAACCCGAGTTCTCGCATTTCTCCCTATTAAGGTATTGTAGTGGGATCACCCTGTATAAGTGAGCATACAGACGCATCTGCATGCTGGACTTGTTTATTGTAAAACATGACAGGTTGTCTCTGTCACTGGCTTTAGTTTCAGTTCAACTTCAGTTCGGATTATTTGATGAACATTCCTTTGCTACCACTCTGCTGTCAGTAGTAACCAAGTACTTAACTGTTGTAACTACTCTTAAAGCAATAGTAAATTATTTATTAATAGTAATTATACAAGGCATTAATAAGGCCAATCAAATAGGCAGTGCATTCCTTCACCAACCCACACCGATCAGTGTGGTGACATGGTCACGTTTCCAAACAATGCAAGTGCATACTCTGGTTTTATTCGGTAAAGTCACGTAGATAAAATAAAACAAAATAAAATAAAACAATTAAATCACGACGTTTCGGAGGCAACACAAGCTTCCGTCTTCAAGTGGCATAGTCAACGCAGAATATCTGTGTCAGGAGCACAGTTCAGAGACGACCGGGATTATATACAAATTAAGGGGGGGGAGGAGTCAGTAAGGGGGCGTGGGTAGGTGGGAGGGCTGGGTTAAGCAGCCTTTTGATAGACTGCTGCGGACAACAACCACTTCGCATTGCACGAGAGTGGGTAAAACCCACCTTTTGTTATGCTGAGTGGGGGGTCGGGGGGAGGATTTTGAAAGAGGCGGCAATCGACTGTTCAATTATAAGGTAGCTAAAGTTTGATATACAACCTCTGAAAAAAGGAAATGGCTGTACAAAAAATTGAAAGGCAGCTAACGTTTGACTTGATTTATAACATCTTTCCAGTGATTGCTCAATTTGAAACCATCCTCTCGGTTGAAGTTGTGTCTGTGTTTGTAAATCTGGATGGCCTCGTGGACAAATCTCTAATAACCGGTAGGTTTGCAAAAGGTGGGTTTTACCCACTCTCGTGCAGTGCGAAGTGGTTGTTGCCCACAGCAGCCTATCAAAAGGCTGCTTAACCCAGCCCTCCTACCCACCCACGCCCCCTTACCGACTCCTCCCCCCCCCTTAACCTGTATATAATCCCGGTCGTCTCTGAACTGTGCTCCTGACACAGATATTCTGCGCTATTCCACCTGAAGATGGAAGCTTGTGTTGCCTCCGAAACGTCGTGATTTAATTGTTTTCTTTTATTTTCTTTTATATTATCTACGCGACTTTGCCGAATAAAACCAAAGAGTATGAATCCTTGCAGTCACGAGAGCTTCAAATCTAGAAATGCGAGTGCAGCCGAAACCAAACACGGTGCCGAACTAAAGCCAGAATTAAGAAAAACAAATTGGGACATAAGTTGGTCTCGATGAGTTGTAAAAGGAGAACCCCGCAGACGTATAAAAAAATCATTACAGCCAAGTGAATGCATGTTTGACTGACACCAGAGTGGATTTCTTAGTTTCTACAAATGACATCTGTAGCGACATAAATTATGTCACTAGTGTGTTGAGACAGTACCAGGTGATGACGGGTACTGTAGATGGGGTGACTCTCTATGACACCAGCGTGAGCAAGGCACAACATGCCTCACTAGAGGGCAGGGTCGGGGTGTCACCCAGGTCGAGGCAGGCCGCGACACCCCGGGTGAACCGGGCAGGGCACGTGACCGGACGAAGGGGGGCTAGGGGGACCCCCATTTCATCCCTTGAAACTTCATATATTGTGTACATCCACCACGGATATTGAGCGTTGGGAGCACTTCGCAACTCCGATAAGCACGGTTGGCTACGTACGGTGCGAAAGAAGTTCACCATACATACGTATTGTGCCATATATTACAGAATCACACACCACGCTTATCACAATAATGGCATTATACTGCACACGATAATTAGTCCACCGTTAAAGCCAAAAAAAAGTCCAAATCATGATACTATACAATACTGCAGCCGTTGCTCTCCTCCCACACGAAGGCGCGTCAGTGTGGGTAGCAGAGAGAACATCTATAGTCGTTTGTGTACACTCCCCGGCGCGTTTAACCCACACTGCGAGCAACGTGAGACTTGGTGAAGTAAACCACGCGACCCGCACAAGGTGGGGAGGCCCTCATCTAGCAGTGGATTGACAAACGGACTGCACATTGTACACCAGCAGCAGCAACAACAGCAGCCATGGGCTATTAACTGCTGGATGAAATCATCATTAGACCTCCTGGATGAAAGTCTCTCCCGATGCCCCCCCGGGCCGCAGCCACCCCCTCTGATTCCCGGGATGTAACAACCCACCAAATACCTGTAGGCACGAAGCAATTCCATCGCTCCATCTCCTCGAGTGTACACACACTGCTCGGATGCGATCGTATTAGAATGATCTGCTGCGAACGAATTCAAACCACTGAATGTGTCAAATATCGCAGCATTTTATTGGTACTTTCTTGAAAAAATATTTGGTAAATACACGCGTGTCAACATCGTAATGTCAACACAACATCATAACAGGTACTAAAACGCTGACAAATTGCGACCTTAGCTGCGGCACCATTAGGCCTCAACCCACCACAACCCCTGGCGTCTCGCATCTCGCGTCCGCCACCCCCTCCTCGTATCGCTCACCTCACGGTTGTCGCCGATGTGGACGCGTTTGGAGGCCGCTTCGTCGCCCTATCGCGACCGATGCCGACGGATGGACCCGCGCGCGTTTTGTAGGGGCGAGCCAACGCCCCTCAAGCGGCGTCGTTCGCGCTTGCGACAGCCCGGAAAGTGACGTCACTCCGCGGCGAGTGGGGCCTGTCCGCACTAGCATTTACAACGGCGACAGCGATCAGATGTGATAGTCCGCATTAACGACGGCGAGCGCGCGATCGGAAATGGTAGTCCGCATGAACAGCGAGCGCGTCGGGCGGGGTGACTCCAGGTCACGACAACAACGGAAGTGGTCGCCACCCAATGGCGATAAATGGGTTAGCAAGAGAGCCAATCAGCGCGCGTCTCGGGGAGCACGTGACACTTTGACGGGGGGGGGGCGGGCATCAGAATTATAATACTGTATTTATTTATACTGCAGCAAACCTTTCAACCCTTTACCAGTGCGCTATCTTATTACAGATCAATTCAGACCTTATTGGTCATCCCGTGCCCCTTATGAATCTCAACGTTCATCCTACAAAGTGCCATCACAAGGGAGAAACGCAAAACAAATAGCAAACCTGTCAACCCCTTATCAGTGCCTGCCTTACTGCAGACCAATTCAGACCTTATTGGTCATCCCGTGCCTCTTACAAATTTCAACGTTCATCTTACAAAGTCCCAATCACAAGGGAGAAACACAAACAAATAGCAAACCTGTCAACCCCTTATCAGTGCCCTACCTTATTACAGACCAATTCAGACATTATTGGTCATCCCGTGCCCCTTATAAATCTCAAAGTTCCTACAAAGTCCTATCACAAGGGAGAAACACAAGCAAATGGACAAATGTTTTTGTTGCCCGTATTGAAACGGCTGTACATCGTATGGACCTGAAAACTCAATTTCCCTGTACAAGAATACGGGGTAAACCGTATGGGTTGACAGCTGTGCTGCAGATAGAATCCGATGAGCTGTTAAGATATTTTTCTTCTCATGTCCAGTTGGAGGCATGGGGGTAAGAACGTTAAAACAACAAACAGAACAACACCATGATAGTAGTGCAAAGTGCAAGAAAGGTAAACAAATCACCCAAACACATAAATAAAACACTAAACCATCACCATCCTACCAGGCAAAGCCCACTGAGGTGTTAGCTTTTTTCAGAAGCGACCTGGCCACAAATGATAGCTCAACAAAGTGACCCATCATCATTTGGACATTTATAGCACCAAAATAATCTCAGTCATTTCAATACATGTTTCCAAATGTGGAGGGAAAACCAGAGGACCCATTTTGCGGGAAAGCAGTTTACGCATTCTGAAATCTAAAGAATCTGAATCGTTATTTATCATGCTCTCTTGTGACAGATGCCTAGTAGGCGCCAAAACGTTACAACAACAAAAAAACAATACGGAAAAAACACGATAGGAGTGCAAAGTATAGGAAAGGTAAACAAATCACTTAAACATACAAATAAACTAGTTGTCGTTGTGCAGATTATACGAAACAACGCAGTTTCAATAATAATGAGGCACAATTATTATATTTTGGGTCTGATCGTGATATGTGACTAATCGGCAGTTTCGTTTTCTTGAATTAAAATCAATTATCATTTATGAATCATAAAACTGTATTGGTCGAGGAAAGCCGATGGATTAGATATGTAAATACAGTGCAGCGGACTAGCGGTCACAGAGGGTAATGACAGGGAATTAGCAAAGGAAGAGACTAGGGGCCACAGGGGGTAATGACATGTTAAGGGTGCAGATAGGGGAACGATCTAGGGTCTACGAGAAGGATCGAAAATAGGGGCTGTGGTCAAGTGATAGAAGGGACAGGTGTGGATCAGGGACCGAGAGCCATCGAGAAGGTTCTAGAGAAGGGGCGTGGCCACGGGTCAGGGGATGGCCATGCTGGGGATTAAAGGGGTCGAGAGGAGAAGCTCGGGGCTGCTGTTAGAGTCGGGGTCTTCGCCTGTCAAGTTTACGTGTCTTCAATAAAGATCATCACAAGAACAGTGTCTCCTGGAGTTGTTACAGATAATTAGGCTACATTCTCTCTATATATCTGTCTCTCCACATAAAAAAGAAAGGTATTTATTACACAACCCTTCGGCCCCATGTGCCCTTCTGAGAGTGAAACACAATTCTGCGGAGGGAGCTGGTAGGAACGTTGGGTTGCTCGGTCAATGGCCAGGGTCAACGGCGGCGTGGTGTATTCCGCAAATATGCCCGACTGTGAGGGCGGGCACAAGCCGGCGTGAGTAGGTTAAATGGTGAGTTTTATAAGGGCACCACGGGGTGACCAGCCCCTCCCCACCCAGCCCCACCCCTCCTATCCCCCCACCCAACCCCACCCTCCCCACCCTCCCCACCCTCCCTTCCCCACCCAGCCCCTCCCTCCCCACCCAGCTCCTCCCCACCCTCCCCTCTCCACCCAGCCCCACCCCTCCCATTTTTGGATGCACAACGGACGGACGGACACAATCATCCCCTGTGGGCTGGTGTAACCAGGAGGTTCTTACCAGTAAAATCTCATCAGCCGCGATTCAGTACAAGCAAACTCTGGACCGGTTTCGACATCCAGTGTCTCATTAGCAATCAGGCTCGCTTGAATCAATGCTGGTGGGCTGCCAGATGTAATAGCCAAGGTCCCTCTCCGAAAGATTATGGGTCCTAGATCGATAGAAGTGTATATTATACATAACACAGCAATTCTAAGTTATATGAAGGTGACGTCTGCTTTATTTTATTTCAAAATCAGCTGTGTGGCTTTCACTCAGTGACTGTACATGTGTGATAAACGACTTCCACGACGATCTTGACTGGCGTCTTTTATTGATAGAATTCTTGCACAGCTCACTCCCGCTAACCCCCGTACGTTTCCCTTCTCTCTACGGCCGACGACGAGCCATTCCCTCTGTTCCGCCGTTGAGGTCCGCCTCTCTCCCACTCCCCGATCCCGCCGCTGACTGGCGGCGTGCCGCCACGTGGTCAATGGCGAGGAGAGGCTTGTGCAGTGACGTGGTCAGGACTCGAGGCTTCACACACCGACCCCCGAGTCCTCCCCTGCCCCTGCTTATACCCCTCTCGGCGGAGCTAAGCTTCGCCTCTAGCCACGCCCCCTCGTGGAGCCTTCCCGATGGTTCCCGCACGTTCCCCTTTGACTCCGCCCATGAACTTTGGCCCAGAAATATCCCCGCTTGGGATTGGATAGCCGCGACCCGGTGGTGGCCGTGCGGTGACCCCTTTCCGCCCATTAGATGGCGCTCTCTCATTACACATGGGTGGATAAAGATGGATTTTTATTAATAATATCGCGGCGGATATGTGGTGCGTGTGTGCGTGTGAAATGTGACTTTTTATTTCATTTTCATGTTAAAACCCCGGGCAGGTGTGCGTTTTATTAAATATGGCAAAGGTGCAACCCTGCAATTGCGCGGTCACACCACAGCTGGTGGAAGGGCTTCCACAAGAGTGCGTTCGAGTGGTGAACTCCTCTGGAGGGTGTTTTGGCCTACTCTTCCACACTGGCCAGACCTGCCCATCGACTGTGGTCCATGTCGTGTATTGTACACTGATGGGTGAGCAGAGGGATATAGGGGCCGTCCGTAAATGACGTCACGCACCTATGGGGGGGTGGGGGTCAGACATTTGTGACGATGTGTGACGAAGAGGGGGGGGGGTTGAGAAATGTGACGTCACATCATAATGCGCAACATTAAATAAATATAGACAACACGTTCTACTTTATTAAATAGACTTTTTAATAAATGTTTTATCCTACAACATCAGAGTGCAGCGCCACATTAAATACGCACTACAATGACAATAGTTTAAAAATCGATTTTAAGCATGTTTTATTTGTGGGGGGGGGGGGGCAGAGCTTTGTGACGTCATATTTGAGGGGGGGTCTGACTTTTTGTGACGCCGTGTGACGAGGGGGGAGGGTCAAAAATCGTCCAAAATCGCGTGACGTCATTTATGGACAGCCCCATAAGAAAAACGTGGGCATTCTTTGAACTGCCACGCCGAGACACCAAACAGGCAACCTCAAGATAGCAAGTCCATCACACTCTGGCTGTGGTATCATTGTGAGCGTTGGTTCAATAATTTCAACATGCCAACAACGTTGGCCCATCGTTGCATTTCTAGATTTCTAGATTGGCCTCATCGTTGCATGTTTACTGGGTTACACGTGCTTTAATGATTGTATATAGTATTGCTATTATAGGAAACACTCCGGTAGCTACAAGCCACAGTCGGTTTGAGGTGCACACACCCCCACCGGTCAGTGCTGCCATTTATGTTGAACTTCTTTCGCACCATGTGTAGCCAACCATGCTAATCGGAGGTGCCATGAGCTACGAATACCGTCCACTGTTTTCACCTTCGCCCTAACTTGCGACTTTTGCCTCATCGGCATAGTCAGCCAAATCGCCAGGGATGGGCCAGCCAACAATTATTTTCGTTTGGTCAAGTGAATGATGGTAGATGTATTAGAATACTTTCAAGGGATGCAGTACTTAATTGAAATTTGTCTCCATATGTATGTGTACCTCTTCTATTAACGTGATTGAACGCAAAATAATCTGGATTCATAACGTGATTAAACATGTGCACTGTATTTCCGTATGCTCTCATACTAACGTTTGCATTTGTACTGTATAGCACAGTAAATGCCTTGGCAGCTCAAAGGCGCCTAACATTAACATTCCATCTGAAACAAAAGTGGTTTCTTGAATGTGTGTTCCCACTGGATGCTGTAATTCTGAGATGGGTAATGGTTGATGTTTCCCCCACGAATGTTGACCGTCAAGAAAAGTTGGCTTGGCAAGACACACGGCTACAAGGGATGTAATGGTCTGTGGTTGAGAATGACGGAGCTGCAGCCATGGAGTGGAATGTGGACAAAAATACATCCAATGCGGAGATGGAATTATTAATTTGGCTCGTGTGCAGGGGCTCGGTGGATTATTGCATCGCAGAATTGTGAGATCGTGTTAGCTTGGCGAGGCCTACATCCAAAAGTGGCTTGACCATGGGCTAATTATTGTGTGTAGGGCAAGTTTAACTGCACGTCGCGTTTTATTGTCTCAATGTAAATCATACACAGGGCACTGCCAGAGGGCTGCACCACGCCATGCAAATCGTGGGGCTGTTTTAGC